GAGAAGAAAGAGAGAGAGGGAGAGAGCAGCAAAAGGGTTAAAGGAGAGAACTTCCAATAGGCAAGAGCCTTCGAAAGAGAGATTCTCATACGCCGATATATACACGGTGTGTGCCACGCAAGAGAGAAGAGATAAATAAACATATAAAACCCTATGACAAGCTTCACGCCGGATAAAAACATGTCGAGAGACACGTATCTCGATCCCCCTCTCCCCCTTATTTCCCCGGTTTGCTTCTGATGCTCCCCTTCGCTGCTCCTCTCGTCGATTTCCTCTTTCTCTTTTGTTCGAGTCATAAAATGCACCGGCTCGTTCGGTACAGCGCGTACGCACGAGCTTGATGACTGTATTAATTATGCTTAATACAATTTCTTTTATTTATTCCTTCGCCTACCGGTGGTGTATAATGATATTTTCGCGAAAATTGTCGCGGTTATATTTGCAGATAACGATGTTGGATATTTATAATCGATGATAATACCCGATAGCTGCGAAAAACAACTGTGTTTGCTATGGCCGAGAATTAATTAGTACGTAATTAATGAATATCAACTAGATAAGCAACGGAATCTTCTATTTGAAGAATATTTGTTCAAAGCTTTACCCTGCGCTTTCATATAAAAAAAGAAAGTAAAAAAAAATAAAAGAATGATTAATAGCTCACATAAGACTGTTTTGCGAACATTAATTTTTAATTTCGTAGCAATACATTTTTTTTTTTTTTGACTCCTTTGGCAACTTGTACTTAATTTTCACATTTCAATTTACTTTTCCGAGAAGAAAATCTCGAAGAAAAAGAAGGGAAGATAGAGAATTTGAAATCCTGGTACACATGAAAAGGTAACGAAACCTGGTTCCGAGTGCAATTTTGCCAAGAGCTTATTCCGGTTTTCCGGGGATCGTCGTGCTTACATAGCATATCCGCTGGTACGCTCGTTATCTCTCGGGGCGTGGGAGAATCGCCCGGGTTTTACGAGCGCAATGACGACGGCGACGATGTCGCAGCGCTCGCCTTCGGGCGCCGAAAGACGCAGCTGCGAATGCAGTTATACGGCCGTATATGCAACCGCGACTGTACGGAGAACCGGATGGGACGAAGGAACCAATGTTGCACGACACATTCCCGTCCATCGACATCACCGGTCGTTTAAATTCGTCGAGGGAAACGCGCTCGCCTCGTTCCGAGAAAAATTCGCGGCGAGAGGAGAAACGCCGATTCGCGCTGTAAATTACGCGCGTGAAGACACGCTTATTGTCTCAGCACGCGTGGACTGACATGCTGAGCGCTTAACCGGACAGGACGTGAGCGGAGACGGGAAGACATAAATTACACTAAGTGATTTACATCGTAGAAATATCACAATGTGCATTAGTGATATTAATTATAATCCCGACTTAATCTCAAAATTATTCATATTATCTTCATTATTCTAACGCGCGCGATGGGGTGATTACGATAACTGTGGCCCCCTATTTGAAAGGTCGTTTCTGAAGACATTTTTGACGAGAAACACGGGAAAAATAGTAAAAAAAATTTCCGACCAATAGTTTTCGAGATATATCACTTTAAAGTATTGGACATGATAATGAAATTTTATAAAAACGGACCCAACGATGTTGACCTTGATATATGTTGTCAAGATCATGATCCTGAGTAACTTTTCCTTATAACTTAATCGGCGGTCTCTTATAATTTTTGAGATATTTAAAGTTAAAGTTTAATTCGAAACGAAAATTTGGTTTGGGTTACGTTATATAACCCAAACCAAATTTTCGTTTTAAATCAGAAATAGGTTTGGGTTAGGTTATATCTTTCGGAAGTGGAGCCCCCCGCAGGGAGGGCGGAACCCATTGCGTCCACGCATATACTTTACAACGCGAAGCAAGGAAATTAAAATAAATAAAAAAATTAAACAAATTTTAACAAAAAAATGTCTATATTTTGAAAAAATATTGAATAAAAAATAAATCAAAAATTACATTCATGGATAGAAGCTGGTCGGAAATTTTTTTTACTATTTTTCCCGTGTTTCTCGTCAAAAATGTCTTCAGAAACGACCTTTCAAATAGGGGCCACAGTTATCGTAATCGTGCCCGCGCGATTAATATGTACAAAAATATTTTACAAAATGTACAAAAATATTTTACGTCGTTTCTTTCTTAGAAATAGGTTTAACGATTACTATGCAAAGTCACGTGTGCCTTGTATAAATTTAGTCGCCGCGCAATTTACTGCAGTTGAGATCTGTCATTATCGGTACAAGCATCATGCGAGATGGCATATGCATTAGGCGTCGTGGCGTTTGAACAACAAAGAAAATGAGAAATTCAAAGTCGCGAGAAGAGAAACGTCGAATTAAAATTTACAACACGTCTCTTCAGGGCACGGTACTATAATCGTGCAACATATAATCCATCGAACAAATATGCGCGCGCGATCGTTTCTTAGAAGGATTCGCCGGTATTATTGTATCGTCGCAAACGATTGCATTTTCTATTCTGTTATGCTAATCTCGAGAGACAGTGAGCGCGCGAGACCAAGCTCTCTCTCTCTCTCTTCATTAAGCGCATTAAAATGACAATTTAAAATGCCGCCTGTCCCGCTCCGTGGAATCTTGAATTAGTCAAATTAAACGGTCCACTTTAAAGAGACGCTATTTGTCACTTCTCGGCCGTACTACCGTCGTCGCGTCGATTTATTTCACAAGAGAAGTCTATTACTGCTCTAAATATATAATTTGTACTTACTATCGTTGCAATATTGCGGTGAAAGATTGCTACAATATGTATGCAATCTTTGTGTGCTGTATGGGTATATGCTGCAATTCTCTCTCAATCCCGCGATATACTTTCCTCGTCAATTTCCTCTTCCCCTTCTTTTTCTTCGACGAATTCGTGCGAACGTAAGGCAATTCTGAAAAATAATATTCTGTTTATAAGTTGCTGGTAACTTGAACTGCCCTCGTCGATCCGATGTTTCTCGTCAAAGTCACGAATTTTTCGGCTTCTCGGGTAGCGCGTAAACGGGTGGGATAAAGTGAAGGGGGCACCGCGCGGAGTTTAGATCGGTGTAAACGCCGGATGGTCGCGAACGACGTCGGTTATTTTTGTATCGTCCGCAACAGGAGCCACAAAACGTCGCGTTTTAAGGCGCGACGCACTTGTCGCCACAAATTTCACGCGGAAACGTCAAGGTTCTTTGTGGCGAGGATTCGATTAAAGTGTCTTAAACGACCCATGCGAGTTTTTACGACGACGAAACGATTACGAATGCACTCGCATGCGTAATGAGTAAAAAATTCTCGTGCGGTCCAACTGACGGTGATAAACGAAAAGTAGATTGCAATCTATAATATTAATACTATAGTTATTATTGCGATAAATTTATAATAGTAATACACTTTGTAGAATGAAAAATATAATTCGACTTTCATAAATCATCCCGCCACAAATATATTTTTGGGATAGACGCGACGGAATAATTCTCGACGGCAAACGGATAAGTGCCAGGTGTTGATGACCGAAACCGATATCTAGGCAAACATTTGTAATTTATTCTGTAATAGGAGAACGTTTTTCGAGACGAGAACGCCCTCCTGTTTGCTCAGGAATGCAAACGATCTTTGTGTGGCGCGACTGATATTCTTCATTCCCGACAATATGGCCGTAATTGTAGCTCTTTGTAAGTGTCCAAATGCAAACGATATTTCGTGCTTCGATAACTGAAAAGAACACTCGACGAAAGAATACTTTAGGCATTTTATAGAAAATTTTATACGATATGCGCTCCGAAGTTGATTACATCAACTCTAAAAAATGCACTCTACACTAGCGTAGACAGGCATATACGTAACCGGAATCGAACGATTCTTCGAAACGAAGCGAGAGAGGGCCACAATTTACTTTTAATTGGTATCTATTAGCTTCATTGTAACGCAGTGCATACGTGTCGGTGCGGTCGGTGGCCCTTACGATTTCAGTCACCATTCAAAAGGCTCCTTTCACACGAGTCACTTTGAATCGAACCCGCATGTTAACCCCGTAAAATCGTTAAAGATCTTTCACGTCAAACGTGACACGTTGGCAGGAGTCGTTGACAACCGTTCACGTCAGAAATACATATAGAAATAATCGCGCGTGTGTGCTATATACATAATTACATTACAATCGAAGCGTTGTAAGGGCAACAAACTATCGTATATTACTAGCGATAAGTTTAACTGAGTTGGAAAAGTTGGAAAATTAATATTTCCAAGTTCTCTCTAAAAACGATCTTACACAAACTTTAGTATGAAAGAGGACTCGAACGAAGGACAGGATATCTTATTCGATTGTTCGATCCGAGTGACGCGCCGAACAATTCCCCTCCGTCGTTTAATAATTGAAGACGCTGGGAAGAAAGGGGACACATGGAATGTTTCTCGACTGCACGCCACTGCAGTCGTAACTAGATGAAACGAAAACTTTAATATTTAAGAGACCACCAGTGAAAATACTCGCTATACAAATCCACGGCGAAAGTTCCCGGCTTCTCTCTTGTTCTATTTTACTTTTCATCAAATGTTTCTCATAAATGTATGTTTCATTATTCGAAAAATCGTACATTATCGTAGAGATAAATTGTAAAACTATTTCATTTTGACAATAAAAATAATCTTTTGTAATTTGATACACACAATTAAAATAAATAAAAAAAAACAATATTTTTTTTTTTTTTAACCGGATTTAATCTTAGGATATACTATATGTGAGGTCCTTTGGGACTGGTAAAATTTTGACATATATATGTATACGTACCCCCTATAGACCCTTGAAAAAAGATTCTTTCTCTCGATCCCTCTTATTCTGACGTAACGCAGGACATGCGTCTGTTTCGTGTCGGAAGAAAGCCAGAGAGGGAAGATCTTGGGCAACATGTCCATTCAACACTGGACTATAGTTTCCATATGTTCTCTTTCGACATACAAAACTAATATATCCGTCTTCTGTTTCTCTTGCAGAAATGTCCTGTTGCTCGCTTGCTGCTGGATCCTGTCGGAATGAGTGCTCCAAGGTATGCATTTTAAATAAGCACATACTGCATTCTTGAGTTCCTCCTCTAAGAAATCTTGAGAACCTTCTGAAATACTTTCAATAATAAATGCAATTATAGAGGATCAGTGCTAGACTGACTATTATTAAATCTCTTAACTAAAAAATCTATAATATAAAATATATATAAAATTATACAATATATAACATATACAAAATTATGTTTTTACATTATATTATCGTTTTTAAATTATTATAATTCATTGATCTTTTTTTATCTATTTTAAACGGCACACTATCTCCGTATCATATTTCGCATATATGTAAATTGTCGAAAATAAATTATCGAAAATAGATTGTCGGTAGTAAAATGCCCGTAACAACTAACGCAATTCGCGAAATCCGAGATAATATATATATATATATAATATAATAGAGTTAATATACGAAACGCTCGCGAGCAAGGTATAAGAATACGTCTCTCGCGACAAGAAATTAGTCGTGGCGCTGGATACAATCTATTAATTATGTACAAGAGAAGGAGGCCTCGTGGGAATTTCAAAAAGACAATCTCGACGGCATAATCGTCCACCGGAATGAATGCGATATCGCGCGGTTGATAAATATCCGTGGGCCGACCCCGGGACGATAAAGGACACGAAATATGTCGTGTCCGTGGATATATTAGGATCCGGGAAATAAAAACAGGAATATGACAAGAAGAGGGAGAAAGAGAGGAAATGCAGAGGTGAAAAAAGAGAGAAGGAGCAGGTATACCTTAAACCGCTTCCTTCGATGAGGGTTTCTCAATGTGGGGTGCGTCTCACTGCAGCTTCTTTAGAGAGGTGCGTCTGGTCCTCGAAGATAATATCGAAGGCCTGCTGCGAGATTTACGCCGGACCCCTTCGGGGCATCCCGTGGGCTCATTCATACGCAAATATTACGAATTGACGCGTTGAACATGGTGGAGGTACCGCGTGTTATCAATGATATCGTGTCTCCGTGCAGTTTATTCGAGGAGGAAGAACGTGCGTTGGGTGCTCTTTTGTTGATTTCTGATTGTGGAATAACGTATGAGAATATTCATAAAGGATATTTTATTACCAAGACTCGCGGGAAGATTGTAATGTAAAAATATATTCGTAATGTGTTAATGTTAATATATTTTCGCAGATGCGAGATAAAAAAACATTTGCTAAAAAATTGTAACGAGATTCAATAGAAAATATTATAGAAAAAATTATCGGTATAATTTGTCATATATGTGACTTTACATTGCATAGTGTTTCTCGTGATAGCGGTCGTAATATCGTTGCTTACTTGAGATGTAAGACACGACAACGAGAGGTGCAGAAAAACGTCGAGAAAGTCGTCTCTCCGGATCGTCTTGCTTGACTACTGATGAGCACTTTCTTCCTCCGGCCATCTAGCAGCGAAATAACCGGAAATCGTGACGGAAGGTCCGAGTTATGTGACAAGTTATTCTTAAGATAGACAAGAAACATGCTTATTTGTTGAACACATGACATCTCTTCTTCCTATTCATAACATCTCTTTGTTGCTTTTTCGTGTTATAAAATAGATTTTCGATAAACTTGTCTCTTCTTTTTTTTAAATTGCGTTATATATATATTTTTTTTTCTCTCGTATTTTGAACGCGATGTGTGTGTGTGTGTGTACAACAAGTATTTTATTAAAGTCTAAAAGAGAGAGAGAGAGAGAGAAGAGAGAGAGAGGAGAGAGAGTATGTCAACCAGATTATTCATGGTTTTTATTTTTTTAAAGCTGAATGTGAATATACACAATACACACATATAATGTGGCTCACTGCATCGGTCGAAGAAGATTGTAACTGACTACTGATTTAATTAGTCGACCGACACCTCGCCGCGGTCGTTTTTTTATAGTATCGTTTGTGAGTTCGGAAAATAAAAGCACGGGGTAAATTATGAAAGCTTGCGGCTCTATTTCGGTATCTTTTGATCTCCGCTGTAACTCGGAGACCGTCGAGGTTGATTTATCTGGTCCGGAATATATGAGCTTTGAAGTAGTATTTATTTCAGATTTTTTGCCAACAATAATGTTTCGTGCGTCAATCAGCGATGTTAAAAAAAGAGAAATTCTTTTTTCAATACCGTCCTTTTTCATTCGAAAGATTATTCGCGAATCGCGTGGCCTTTATTAAACATTTATAATTTTTTAGCGGAAAGTAAAAATCTATTGTCATTAAAACCCTCTTTCACGTTGCTGCAAACTGTTGCAAAAATTTCACGAGTGGATAATGCACCCCCTTTCAACATGGCGATGTGGCCCGGCTGCGCATACCTCCCAGAATATACCGCGACGAAAATACGTACGTGGTTTTCTCAGCTCCACATCGCTCTTCTAACATTTATAACAGTTTAACTTAGCAGAGATAATTCGGAGGTACTAACTGATTTACTAAATTACTACATATATAAAATAACCTGTCACTCTACAAAGAAGAGAAGTATGTAATAAAATCTGTCATATCTAAAATAAGAAAATATGTAAAAAATATATATATAATTAAAAAGATTTCTCTCTTTCTTCCTCCCCATCTAAATAATTAAATATAATCTTGTAATAACATGTATTGTCATTTTGATGAAAATATAACGCTTGCGAGTTGTCGTTGTAATCAAAGCTGTAAATTAATGTAAAAAATTGCCATTTGAAAAATACGAACAGGTGATCGATAACTTACAGTACAAACGTGACCTTTGACTATGAGTGTATCGTCAGGGCTCGTCGGGACCCACCGCATGTTGATGGATGGTCGTAACTCGTGATCGTGATGGACATACCGAGTGGATCCGGCATGTCCTCGCGGAAGGCACCGATTGAATCCGGAATGAGGATTACATACGATATCTGGCTCTGGAGACGATTGTCATTCAGTAACGGGCAGCAGGAAATCGCGGGGCCCGCGTGTTGCATTCATGTCCTTGATTTTTAATGGCCGTTAATGCACCATTCCGCATTTCGAATTTAGGAAGCCACTCAATTCAGTCTAGACAGACATTAAAGGTGTTGATGTCTCGAAATTTGATCGTTGAAATAATTTACATTTATACAATGAGCTTCTTTTGCTCGATTTTATTGTCATTTATATCTTCCTTTCAGGGAGTGTAATTTTAAATCTTTGAAAAGCGCAACGTCTTACAATTTTTTTTTCGTGTTATGATCTCTCTTTGTAATTTTATTAGAATTTTTATATTTTTCTTTTTCTGCATAATAATTTCGTCATATTTTTAGATATCTTTGGTGACCCTTGGTGCTGAAATCGAGGCGAGGGAAAATGCTACTCGACGTCTGCTGGAGTTTTGTTCCATGGAATTGGTGAGTTTCGTCGATTACGTTTCTAAGGCTCAGTCCCGTGTACAATCGACACCCACTTATTTCGTTCATTCAACTCGAATTTGGATCGGAAGCTTCTCGACAATGGGCAACTTAAACGATCCAGGATGTCTGTAACGCGATCCACGTTTTTTCATTCGCAGTGATGGCTTTATGAAAAATGATCTCGGGAGACTTGCGGTCGATCGGTCGATTGTGTTACTTCGCTTCCTTCATCATTTTTTTGCGACTATCTTCTCTCACGTTAAAATCCTTTTCTTCCAGATGGACTTCTGGTCCTGCGTGAACTCGACGTTGAATGGTAAGCTTGGTTCGCGTCTGAATGTGCAATAGTGTTGCCGAATATATCTAGTCTCATATAAATTCTTATAGAGCTCAAGAGGAATGAGAATTGGATAGGTCGAGGATGCTGCCGCCTCATTCAGAATCCCACGTGTCGAACGACCTGCGCCCTGTCGGGTTCCACGGATGATCTGAATGAGTCCTGCCGACCAAGCGACGAGCCCGAGTTTTTCTTTTGCCTGGAAAAGCGCGAGGAGGCCGAACGATGCTGCAACAACGTTTCCAATGACACTTGCAGACTCATTTGCAAGGATATCTTTTACAAGCCTGGCAAGCAGTCTAGTTTGAAACTGTATAGCAGCAAGGGTTGCTTCCATCAGATTCCCAAATGCCTGAAAAGCGTGGCCGAGGTGAAACATGCTGAAGATCCGAAGCAACGTTAGTTGAATTAATATCCAGAAATATTTTTATTCATTGAATGGAATTATATTATCTATCGATGTTCTTAGTGATATCCATTCATTGATTTGATATTGGCAAATGATTGATGCTGCGTTTATTATCTAATTTAATAAATTCTATTTACGCAGATTTGCACTGCTGCGAGGAAGCCACAACCCCGGCGTGCCTGGACACGTGTCGCAAGACTCTTCACATCGCGAACACCAACCAGGAAATCATGGACGCCTTAACGGAAAAGTGTAGCCCGGTGCTGCCTCAGTCGCCGATGTGGAGTTGCTTGATGAAATCGGGCTCGACGAAACCGGCGCGTTTACCGTTAGATGCCGGCAAGCTGACGTGTTGCACAAAAGCGACGAGGCCCTCCTGCCAGAATTTGTGTTGGCGGGCCTTTCAGGCCGACTGGGAATCCGCCTGGGTCCAATTGGATGCGTTGTGCCTCTCGTCCAGCTTGGAAGGTGAACTGAGGAGGTGTCTCGAGGACGCGGACGATCCTTGCGAGATGGGTTGTTCCGGATTATCTTACTGCGCGCGATTCAACGACAGACCTACCACTCTGTTCAGGTATGGATGACTTGATTAAGACTTAATTAACACAGTTCTTGTCAAATGCCTCGCGTCAATAATATAAATCAAACTCAAGTTCAGTGATTCGGAAGTAGAATCAAAATTAGTTTTACAAGATGAAATTTAAGACCTCTTGAAAAATACTTTTGTTGATGTAATTAAATGATAATTTTTCGCTAGAACATGCACAAGTACAGCTGACGAGGCTGCCAAATGGGAAGCTGACCATTGGTCCAGAGGCGGCATTATTCGTGGATTAGGCGTACCTGTGCGTGCTGCGGCGTCTTGTCCAGCGGAGACTTTACGCGCGGCGGCTTGTCTTCTACAGTTGCGACCTTGTGAAACTAGAATCCACGAGACGCGACTCTGCCGCGAGGATTGCTTGGAGTTGATGGCGAGTTGCGTAGATTGGGGTGCAATCACGGGACCACACACAGCCGCTACCTTGTGTGCCAAGCTGTCACCGGGCAGGTCAGACGCGCCGTGCGTTTCGCTGAGACCGTACTTGGACGATCCGCAGGACGATGAGATGGTGATCCATCCCGAGGAGGATATTACGACACCGTGCAAGCGGAATCCGTGCCCGCAGGGTCAGCTCTGCGTTCTCCAACCGAACGGCGCCAAGATCTATCACTGCGTGCCAGCTTGCTCCCTCGGAGAGATGTCGAAGCATTTAGTGCCAGTCGGATCCTGGATCCAGATTCCCCGATTCGATCAGCAGGGTTGCCTAAATATCTGCCAATGCACAGCGCGCGGTCTCGAGAAGTGTCGTACGCCCAACTGTTTTAACTTCAAGTCCTGTTGGGTGCATGACCGGTTCATTCAACACAAGGCCAACTTCTATCTCGAGTGCAACCCCTGTCATTGCTTCGAGGGCGAGTTTACGTGTTCCAAGAAGAATTGCGGCGAGCCACGCGCGCCGTCCTTGCCCTGCGACTGTCCGGCTCATTATGTCCCAGTTTGTGGTAGATTGGGCTTCACCTTTGCATCCGCCTGTCTGGCGAAATGCGCCGAGCTGTCGGCCACCGAAGTGGAGTTTGGCAGTTGTTCCAGCAGAGATCCCTGCGCGTCCAATCCCTGCAAAAGCGTAGAGAGATGCATTCGCAAACCTAAAGTCTGCTTGTCGCGCTTGCACAAATCGTGCCGGCAATACGAATGTGTGCCGATTGATTGTAATCCGCACGACGAATCCAGCGGACCGGTCTGTGATCGCGAGAATCGACAGTATCCTTCTGTCTGTGCCATGATTCGAGCTGGAGCTACTTTAAGCTACAGAGGACCTTGTCTGAGGGGTTGTAGTCTTAGGGGTCCGGTGTGCGGCATCAACGGCGAGGTTTACCCCAATGAATGCGCGGCTTGGGCCGAGAGGATTATTGTGGATTACCAAGGCCCCTGCGTCGCCGTCGGACTCATAGGAGAACAAGCAAAACCTCGTTGCGGTGATGCTGTACAATGTCCTGCCTTGGTGGAACCATACTGCATTGGGGTTACTCCTCCCGGTGCTTGTTGTCCCGTTTGCGGAGGAGCAGCGAGATTGTTTTACTCGAAAAAACAGGTAGCTGCTTCAAATGAGACGTCTCTCTTAAACGTCCGAGTTTTTCTTAAAATATATATTTTGCTTGGAGATAAATATATATATTTGTGAATTACAATATACTCAGTTCATTTTTCAAATTTTTGGATAGCTGAATTAATTTAGTTTCCTTTTGTTTCTTTACTTATAGTTGGAAAGAATCTATTATATAATGGACGAGGAAACCGACAAGGACTCCGTTACATTGGAAGCTCTTCTGGTCGCTCTAGGTCGCCACTTGCAAGTGGCGCAATGCGCAATCCGGGGTATGATGACGCCCGATTGCGACGTCTTCATCGTCGTACAGCCCGTTACCAAAAAACCGTCGGCGTTACAATTGCGAGCTTGCGTGACGGAAACGGAAAAACTCGTCACCAGGATCACGGAGAGAAGTCCCAGAATCGCGGCGGAAGTTCCTTTGGGTTCATTGACCAGAGCAGAGATAGCTCACGGTTACGTTTCCAGTGCAATGAAAATTCGAGCTTGGCACGTAACTGTTATTGTCCTGCCTATCTTCATGTTAAAAATTACATCTTGAATGCGATTATGTCAAAGAGAAAATAAGATTTATCGCTTATTCGGTTCAGTATGATTCCAAAATATTTATGCAGTAATAATTATACATAATTCAATTAATCGCTTGAAATATCCGAGTTTTTTATTGTGTTAATAAGTCATAAGCGATAAAGCCTGTTTTCTCATTTGTTCTGGCTGCTGAGTTTTTTTACCTAATCGCGATACCATTCGCCGTGGCGAATGTCTATAGCGTGTCTCGTGTCTGTGATTCTTCTAGTGCCTTCTAGTAGCAAATAACACAGGATGTATTTTTAGTTACTGATTAATATTACCAAAGAGAGAAAAAGAGGATGTACAAAGAGGTAGGATTTCTCGTGCGCATAATCGAGAACTGTTCGTTATAAGTTGTAAATAAAAAGACTCCATAAACTTAAGTTATATATATATACATCACAGTCCGCGTATTGATCGATATCAATATATTGTGTTCGCATATATGATTTTTACACAACGTGTCTTTCCAAAGATTCATCACAATAATTAAAACTTTTTTGAAATTTTTGTTTATAAAAGAAAATTAATATGGAATTTTATCAAAAATGCAATTGTTCTTAATCATAATCTTTCTAATACAGCTCTAGGTCGCCACTTGCAAGTGGCGCAATGCGCAATCCGGGGTATGATGACGCCCGATTGCGACGTCTTCATCGTCGTACAGCCCGTTACCAAAAAACCGTCGGCGTTACAATTGCGAGCTTGCGTGACGGAAACGGAAAAACTCGTCACCAGGATCACGGAGAGAAGTCCCAGAATCGCGGCGGAAGTTCCTTTGGGTTCATTGACCAGAGCAGAGATAGCTCACGGTTACGTTTCCAGTGCAATGAAAATTCGAGCTTGGCACGTAACTGTTATTGTCCTGCCTATCTTCATGTTAAAAATTACATCTTGAATGCGATTATGTCAAAGAGAAAATAAGATTTATCGCTTATTCGGTTCAGTATGATTCCAAAATATTTATGCAGTAATAATTATACATAATTCAATTAATCGCTTGAAATATCCGAGTTTTTTATTGTGTTAATAAGTCATAAGCGATAAAGCCTGTTTTCTCATTTGTTCTGGCTGCTGAGTTTTTTTACCTAATCGCGATACCATTCGCCGTGGCGAATGTCTATAGCGTGTCTCGTGTCTGTGATTCTTCTAGTGCCTTCTAGTAGCAAATAACACAGGATGTATTTTTAGTTACTGATTAATATTACCAAAGAGAGAAAAAGAGGATGTACAAAGAGGTAGGATTTCTCGTGCGCATAATCGAGAACTGTTCGTTATAAGTTGTAAATAAAAAGACTCCATAAACTTAAGTTATATATATATACATCACAGTCCGCGTATTGATCGATATCAATATATTGTGTTCGCATATATGATTTTTACACAACGTGTCTTTCCAAAGATTCATCACAATAATTAAAACTTTTTTGAAATTTTTGTTTATAAAAGAAAATTAATATGGAATTTTATCAAAAATGCAATTGTTCTTAATCATAATCTTTCTAATACACGCTGCATAGGTCGATACAGTTTTATGCTGCTGAGTGTTTCAAGTTTTTATCTAATACCGTGAATAAAATTAATTTAATAGAACTCGTCAAGCAGGTAATAAATGTGTGTTCGCATTTTATTTATACATCTGCGATAGCCTGCAATGGTTCGTGCCAATGATATGGATAATGCTCCTACAATTGTTAAGTATATTTTGTTATTGTATTAAAAACAAATATTTCATATTTGTATCATCAAAAACGAGTATGAAGTATTTGTGTATAATTGTATTGTTAAAAACAAATAGTTTATATCGTCATTTGTATGAATAATAAATTTCTACAACTTTTATCATATACGTAGATGTGATAATCATATATAGATAATTATATCTACAGGGTGTCTAATATAAAAATTGTGCCAATGCGTGAGCGGATAGAGCGCAGTAGACTGAGCAGGAAGTTCTTTAGGAATATATATAATGTATATATAACATACATTATATATAATATAATAATATATATAATATGTTATATATATATACACACACATATAATATATATTATGTATATATAATATAATATATAATGATATATTCCCCTTTACCATTTTGGAAATGAAAAAAATGATAAACTTTTCCGTTCAGTTTACTGCTCTACCCGCTCACGAACGTTGATATAACCTTTATCAGACACTATGTATATTACCATATCCAAATATGATCTGTATGTGACGTTGACATAATATCCCTATGGTATATTTTACCAAAGTGATTTTGAATTTTTATAAGACTTTGTATCGACCACGTGATGCAGTGTGAGCGCCAGACGCCTGTAGCTTGATGAGTTCTTCCTTGATAAGCCGAGACACTTCTGCCTTGGCCTTGCTGACTGCTAACTCGCTCGTAGATTCAATCGCTAGATATAATTTCCTTTCGCCCTCCGGTGGAGTTTTTCCAGGCGCAATATATGTTCCTCTAACTGTAAGACCTGCCTCAGAATATTCTGAAATCTGAGCTAGAGCTTCCTTGCTCGTGACTCGCCATCTCGCTTGCTGTGGGAAGTCATTGATTTCGAGCTCTTCTTCGTACTTGCGGAACGTTTGTTCACCCGTTTCCGCGTCGCTTTCCACCAGATCCTCTTCGCGTGGTTGATAATTTAATTTAGTGTTCAATTTTGCCGCGAGCTGTTCAGCGACTGTCTTTGCCTGTGCAAAAAAAAATCAAAAATATATTATTTATTCATGATGATACAATATAGCATTTGAATGAAAACTCGGATCTTACCGTAATAAGATTCGTAGGTCCTGCTCCTTTGAGTATGGCTTCCGCCGCTTGTTGAGTGGCGCCCTTCGCCTCGGCGCCCAGATTCTTAGCGATATTTATCTTCGATGCCAATCTCCTGGCTAATTCCAGTTTATCGGTTGCGCTAGGTACCGGTTGACCAGGTACCGTGATATTAGTCGCGGTTGGTCTAGCTATTTCGCGAACTGTTCGCTTAGGTGCCAGCATACTCTCGATCTGTTGATCGATATCATTTTCTATGTCTTCATCATCGGAATCTTGCAGTCCCAAGGCTGCTTTTTGGAATTTCTTTTTCTCATTTGCTAAAGCAGCTTCTGATTCATCGAATTTGAACCCTTTGCCACTGAAACCACCTCCGGTGTGAACTTTCTTTCCATCCGCAGCTTGACGTGCCTTGTAACCTTCCCATAACTGACGCAAGGGTTCTGGAACAGGTACACCTGCTAATTCGTGCGCACGTAAAATATCGCCAGCATAACGTTCTTGCTCTGATGTAATAAAAGTGTACGCGTACCTAAAGGAAAAACGTAATATGATTAATTTATGAAACACGCAAACATTACGTAAAATTCAAAAGATCTTTATCTTACCCTTTATTTTCATTTGCTAAAGCAGCTTCTGATTCATCGAATTTGAACCCTTTGCCACTGAAACCACCTCCGGTGTGAACTTTCTTTCCATCCGCAGCTTGACGTGCCTTGTAACCTTCCCATAACTGACGCAAGGGTTCTGGAACAGGTACACCTGCTAATTCGTGCGCACGTAAAATATCGCCAGCATAACGTTCTTGCTCTGATGTAATAAAAGTGTACGCGTACCTAAAGGAAAAACGCGTAATATGATTAATTTATGAAACACACAAACATTACGTAAAATTCAAAAGATCTTTATCTTACCCTTTATTTCCAGCCCGACCAGTTCTACCACATCTGTGCACGTAATCTTCATAATGATTAGGGCAATCGTAATTAACGACTAATACCAAATGCTTGACATCTAAGCCTCTAGCGGCAACGGAGGTGGCCACGAGCAATTTTGTCCGTCCGGCTTTGAAGTCCAATATAGTCGAATCTCTGTCGCATTGATCTATACCACCATGGAGAGACATGCAGGAATATGAAGCTTTCATAAGATCCTTCAACAATGTGTCTGCATTCTCTTGTTTGTCCACAAATATAATGGTAGAACCTTTGTCTTGATAATGTCCAAGAATCTCAAGCAATTTATAGAACTTTTGGTCTTCCTCGAGTACAACCACATGCTGCTCAACATCTTTACAAACTACGGACCGTCCACCGACCTGCACCTCCACCGGTCTCGTAAGAATTCTCCTGGCCAGCGCCTCCATCTGTCTCGGGAATGTCGCGCTAAACAGCACAGTCTGTCTATCTGGTCTCACGTTTTCCATAATCCGCATTACTTGCGGTTCAAAACCCATATCGAACATCCTGTCGGCCTCGTCGAGCACCACATACGTCACGCGACGTAAATTGGTTACACGCCCGCTATTAGCAGCGAGCATGTCGATCATCCTTCCCGGTGTACATACGATAATCTCGGCCCCTCTTTTAAGCTCCGCTATTTGTTCAGAAATGCCAGTGCCTCCATAAACGCACACATGCGAAAGGCCCAATGATTTTGTAAATTTTTTCGAGTCCCTGCCAATTTGCATGCATAACTCTCTAGTCGGTGTCATAATCAATGCAATCGGTCCGTCACCATCGGCTAATGGTGGCTGATCAAGTATGTGACGAAACATAGGTAACAGAAAAGCTAGCGTCTTTCCGCTACCAGTTTTTGCTATACCTATGAGATCACGACCAGACATAATGGCCGGGATTGCCTGGCATTGAATGGGTGTTGGTTTCTCGTAACCAAGTTTCTTCAAAACTTCTAATTCCTTCTTGGTCACACCGCATTGCGCCCAAGACTTGATAGGTTTTGGGCAGCCTTTACCTTTCACACGAATACCTTCTAATTCTTCTTTGTATGCCTCTACTTCTTCTGGTGTCATTCTTGCTACAAATACATAGCATTATAGAAAGTTAGTCACAACAGACAAAAAAAAAAAAAAATGTATACTATAAAAAAATATAAAAAAGCCATATACCAATTTCAGGAACTTCGACGTAAAAAGATTTTCGAAATGGTTGATAATCTGTTGTAGCATGATCAACTTTGGCTAATTCTCGCTTTTGTTTGTTTGCTATACCAGCGGCAGTCTCATGAAGATTCTCGCCTTCTTCTTCACTGGAGTACTCCAAACCATCTTGATTTTGCTCAATCAATTCTCCCTTTTGTTTTTGAACTTTTTTCTTAGCCACACCAGTCACAATAACCACACTCTGCGCACCAGAATTTGTGCCATTGTTGGCACTTTTTGGAGCTTTACTATCAAATTTATTAACTTTTCTCACTTCTTCTTGAACCTATCGAGTTACTTAGATATAATATATATATATATATATATATTTATAGGATTATAATTTCAATATGAATTATAATAATACTTGCCTCTGCCATAAAAGCATCAAGTGGATCAATTTCCTCCTCTTCATCTTTTACTTCTTCCTTCACTTCTTCAACTTCTTCCTTTACACCTTCTTCTTTTGCTTCCTTGGTGTTATTCTGTACCACAGGAGTCTCTTCGTCACTATCATCCTCAAGGGACCATTTTTTCATGGGTAGCTGAAGATTTGCCAAAATAGATGTCTTACCGTCTTTTTTGGTTGCTTCCAGCTCTTTCTTCTTCCTTTCTGCACGCCATCTCTCTATCCTTTCCCTTCTCTTTTGCATTTCCAATTCTAGCCTTTTTTGTTCTTCCTCCTATAATATTAATTGCAATGTACACTGCTTATCTTTCTTTGCATTTTTCAAGACTTACCTTGTCCAGTTTTGTATGGTCAAAAGGCAACTCTTCGCTGTCGCCCTTTTCTTTATCCTTCCTATCGCGTGACCGAGACCTGTTTGATCGTTCTTTGCCAGAGCGCGAAGACTTTGAGCCTGTAAGACGCTTTTCTTTACTGTCTCCACTAGTATACCGAGAACAATCAATGTCAACAAATTATTTCATTGTTACTATTTTTACAAAAAGAATCTTGGATATATTTGTGACTAAAGAGAAAAATGAGTGCTATGGCCAATCGTTTTTTTTTTTTTTTTTCAAGTTAAGATACCGAAACTCTTTTTATGGGTGTACCGTTTTCTCTCGCGATCCCTGTCCCTCTCGGAACGTTCCCTTCTATCACTCCTTTCTCTATCTCTATCTCGCGAACGACTCCTCCGTTCTCTATGACGTCCCTTGTCCCTGTCCCTCTCTCGCTCCCTGCTTCTGGAACGCCGTCGTTTTTTCTCAGGTTCAGCCGATCTAGATCTCGATCTCGACCTGGATCTTCGCCGATGATGCCTATCCCTACATTTATTCGCAATAATTACATCGTTTATAAATTCGGCACGTAAACGAAGCGTCGGTAACATAACCGCAAAATATAGAGTACAATATATTTCACTTACTTGTCGCTACTTCGCACCATCTCGATTTAATGATGGATCTATTACACCAGTAATTAAATATTTAAGTTGATAAAACTATTGCTATGCATTTATTTTATAGCTAATTAATTTCTTTCATTAATTAAAGTTTCTCCGAACGAAAGGACTTCGTAATTGAGCTCGCGGCTACAGTAACGCCCCCTTTTTGCGATTGAAGTGAGAAGTAGTTATGACGTTTCGATACTTCGAGAATCGCAATTTTTTCGATAGATTTCAAACCGGAGTCAATCGTGTGATGGACGCGTCGCGTATTCGGATCGCTCCGTGTAATGCTCGCGATTGTTACTGTCTAAAGTGAACATCGCGCGCGAAAAGTTGTCGCGAGTGCATCACGAAATACCGATGTTCGGTCGTAATTCGTAGTGCAATTATCTACGTCGCAACTTGGTCATCGGTGTCTCGATCGAATCCGTGAATTTTGCAGGCTCGGAGTCTCGATTGTACATGTGCGTGTGTGTGTGTCTTTGCAAGTTCCACGGCCTTCTCTCCTTAAAATGCATCATTTGAGGATTATGCGATGATCATCGATCCAGGTATGTATATATATACATGTATGGTGTACGTATACCATGTCGTCATTCCGTGTAATTGACTGTGTCGATGATATCTTTTCTAATGTGTGAGTGTGTGTGTGTAGCGATAGAAACATGGCGTGAACAGATACCACGAATAGACATAAAAAATCGCTATTTTACTCTGTGGCGAATATTTTATGCACATTAAGATGGGACGTAGTTCAGAAAAATGTTTATGTTTCTTTTCACGAATTATTTGTATATGTATACTTAAATGTGCACCATACATGCAAAAGTTGAAATATATATATATATATAGCATTTTTTCTCTTTCTTATACGATTACTACTACTTATACGGTAGCATTCAACTTTTAAAGGCTACGAAAGATTATTCACCGAATTGTTTGTGGAATCATTTTTTATAAATTGTAGTTAATAAATTGTACTTACAAAACTGTAAGTTTTTAATATATATAGCATTTACTCGATTATATATGTCGTCTCTTTCAGTGGTAATTTACCATAGAAGAAATAAAAAATATACTCTGTTACGAACTGTTTCTTATCGACAGTCGATAAGTCAGAGAACATGTGTTAAAATGATGAGATTAATTTTGATCATACAGTCGGTCAATTATTATATGATTTCATTGTTACCGATCATTATCCCGGATCATTATTACGCATGCAATGATGTTAGTTTATAAATGACACGGAACAGTTAATTAATTAAGAAAATTAATTCTCGAGTAAAGGCATCTTCTACTTTACCTTACTCACTGATATATATTTAAATTATATGAAACATGATAAAATTATAATAATCATTAAAAATATCTATTGCAAAAAATAACAATATATATAATAATTCGTACACGAGATATATTTTCTATCAGATCTTTAATAATTAATTTACATATCAATTAAACTCTCTATTAGATTAATAATTAACTGACGTAACATTTTTTTATTATTACATGTTTAATTATAATTTATATAATAATAATTATTAGAGATTTATTTATAATTTGTATCATATAGAAAAATATAGAAAAATAGATATTAAAATTACATTAGAAATATATCACGTTTATAAATAGCACCTTATAAATAGCAGTCAATTTTCTTAGCAATATATTCAACAATCAATTTAAAAATTTGATTATTCGAAGACATTAGTTTAATTTAGAGACCAACTACATAATTTAAAGTATAGCACGAATTTCAGAAAAATCTATCTCTTTTAAGATATAAAATCTCATTTATGTACAATTGCGCAATTTATCCGTGGAAATCTATTACATATTCTATAATTGTATGAGCAATTTGTCGTTGACAATTAATCGCTTTATAGTATTGTGATTCTGCCCAATTCGATCAATTTCCGTCGCTAAATTAACGCATTATTTCGCTGTGTAATAATTCGATTTCACAAAGGGCATCTTCGACACGGTAGCTTTGTAAGTCTTTCCCCGAATCTCGATCAACACTCCGCCACCGATGTGTGCCCAATCCGGCGGTAAGTATCCCATGGCGATCGGCCGGCCCAAGGTCGGACTCGGTCCACCGGAAGTAACGCTGCCCACACGTTCACCTTCCGGCGTCAATATCGATGCGCCTTGTCTGGCAGGTGGTCCTTGACCTAGTAAGAGTCCCACACGTTTCTTCGTAACGCCTGTCTTAATTTGCGAAAGGATTTGTTGCGCGCCTGGAAAGTTGGCTTCGGCCCTTCGTCGTTTCGCTACGAAAGAGAAGAAGAGATAGATTGATATTTTATAAATTTTATTTTATAATTGTTTCATAAATTATAAAACTAGCAAAGAAAGAGAAGGGAGAGGCTGGAATAATTCGCGTAATAAAGTTAAATAAGCGGAAAAATGCGAGTGATAAAAATATTTGCTCATTTAAAAACGGTTTTATAGAAAAATATTTATTGTGTTTAAAGATTCATTAGCTACTTTTGCGAAACTACCGACCTACTAGCCAGGTAAGAGCAGCTTCGATCGGTGTGGTATCCTCATTGATATCGTTACCGTATAGACAGAGTCCAGCTTCCAATCTATAAAAAATAGTGGAAAATATAAATAAAAATTCTATTCCACTTAAAAAATTTTCTTTTTCGATCTTATACGTATTATCTCGGATGCGTTTTTGCGAACAATTAATGTGTGTTTTAATGTATAATATTTAATATTTATTACTTGCCTTAAACTATCTCTGGCTCCTAAACCAGCCAATTTTACGTCAGGGTTTTCCAAGATCTTTTCTACTAGATTAATCACGTCCTTCGCAGACGCCGAGATCTCGAAACCGTCCTCGCCGGTGTATCCGCATCGTGTAATTCTGATACGATTGCCTAATACCTCGGTTTTGACGCTATACATAAACTTTAAGGTCTGAAGATCGAAATTGACTAGCGATTGAAGAACTGTTGCCGCTTTAGGGCCTTGAAGAGCTATCAGACCTTGTTCCAAAGGGTCTAGAAAGTCGACGAATACGTTTTTACCAACCTCTTTAAAGTCTTTCTGAAAGCAGAAAAATTCATATATAATATTTTATATTAATATTCCTTACGTTTTGACGTTTTAAGATATTAGGCATCTCTGCAATTTTTCACCTGACGCTCCAGAAGAAGCTGAGTGTCTTCATTCCGCCTTCCCGCATTAGACACGAGAAAGTATTTGTCTTCGTCATCCTTGGTGATGATAAGATCGTCGAGAATTCCCCCTTTATCGTTCGTAAACACTGTCAAAGTTGCAGTGCCCTTGTTTAAATTCTTCAAATCACACGTGGTTAACGATTCTAGATACTCTCCGGCGTCTTTACCGGAGACGCGTGTTTGTAGCATGTGACCGACATCAAAAAGCGACGCCGACGATCTGGTATGTAGGTGAGATACGGTGATCGTATCTTGATATTGTACTGGCATTAGCCATTCGGCAAAATTGACGATCTTACCTAATATTTATAAAATCGTATGCAATTAAATAGTTTATCTAATTTTCTAATATATTTTTCGTATTAAAATATAGCTACGTTATATTATAAAAATTAAAAAACGTATCTCGAAAAAATGATTTGTATTATCCATATTTACGTTAATAGCATCGAGTAACATTATTATATCCGCGATAATTTGTTATATTAAAGAAAAAATATATATATATATAACAGATTATTTTTTTAAATTTAGTACTAGAAATTCAAATCTCAACTCGCCTTGTTTTTCCACGTGAAGATTGTAAAGACAGGTTTTCTGGGCTTCGTTAATAGTCGACGTTGACGACAGCCGACGATTTTGCTTCTGAATCGCGACCGTACGAAGTACCGTGGCATCGATCAAACAATTCGAACGCAACATCGAATCACCACCCCATCCCTCCCTGACCTTTGACACTATAGCCGCGCTGCAGGTATCACGGCTACTTCCTAAAATTTTGAGACATTTCTCGAGATTGTCACAGACAACGAATCTGCCGCGGGTGCTTAAACGAAGCATGATGCTCCTCTTTTAATCTTCTATTATGTACTAACTCAGCGTAGCTCTCTCAAAGGCAAGCCGCTTCATCGTTATGCCTGCTGATATGACCCCGCGCGTGATGTTTGTTTTCAGACTCGGATATATCATTTGAAACTTGAAAGTAGTTAGATTTAACAAACGTGTAGATGATGAAATCTAGACACACACACAAAATATATTATATAA